CGAGAGAAATAACACATTTTATTAAGACGTTAGTTGTTGCCATGTGGCCTAGTTGTCCAGTAGTGTAGTGGCTAAATGTCCGTGCTCAAATGTTTCTTCTGATGAATGCAAATAACCACTCAGTCAGACGGAAAGAACGAGTTTACGTGTGTTGTTTGAACGATGGTAGAAAACTGTGTTCGCCCCGTCTTTATTTCCAGTCAGAACAAAGCACATCAGTTTTTGTTTTTTTTTGCATTCCAGAGACGCGCCTCTGCAATGTCATCGCTCAGCGTCAATTCCTATCAGCTATCCATTCAAGATAATTCTAATCATTACAAACATACAAATCATTACACAACAAATGCAGATTGAAACTAAAGGAATTTATAAAAATAGTAAAGCAGTAACGTAGTTATAATGCAATCAGAAATATTCTATAATATGCAAATACTAAACATATCCAATAATAATAACTAAATATGAAAGTAAATTACTAAATAGAAAATGGCAAAAACATTTCTGGCCCCTAATTGCTGATCATGGGGATGACAATTACACTAAACGAAATAAACTGAAGAGTCATTTTCTATACTCAAATCCCCATTACTTAAATGTACTGAAGTCTAAACATGAACTAACTTAAGATCCAGTAGTTAACAGACAATTAACTGAATAAAATGTCTTTTATTGTCCATGAGATTCTTACATCTCTAACAAGAGACACAACTTGTCAATGGGTTTCTCAAGGGTGTTGGTCTTGCTTTCACAAAGACCCGATGAACGAATCCTTGGGCGTCTGGGATCGTCTTCTCCACCTTTCCCATCAACCAGGACCCTCTTGAAGCCCTTCTATCCACAATGAGTACGACGTCCCCCTCTTTCACGTTCCTGTTCTTCTCCAGCCACTTCTGCCGTTCTTGTAGGAGGGGCAAGTATTCTCTAGACCAACGCTACCAGAAGATGTTGGAGATATACTGGACCTGCCTCCATCTTCGTTTGCAGTACAGAACTTCTTTGTGAAGCATGCCAGGGGGGAGTGCTGGCCTTCCCTTGAACAGAAGATGATGATTCGGTGTCAGTGGCTCGAGGTCATCGACATAATCAGATAAGTAAGGGGTCTGCTGTTTATCACTGCTTCCACTTCGCACATCACAGTGTGCAGACATTCGTCATCAAGACACTGCAGCTTCAGGACACTGCTAAGTACCTTGCGCACTGTTCTTATTTGGCGCTCCCAGATTCAGCCAGGTTGCGACCCAGCAGGCGGGTTGAAAATCCAGGTAACTCCTCTTTGCAGCAGAGCTTCGGAAATCTGGTACTGGTTCCATTCCTTCAAAGCCTTGCGGAGCTCGTGTTCTGCAGCCACAAGGTTTGTACCGTTATCTGATCTCATAACCTTCACTTGTCCTCGTCTAGCAATGAAACGTCTCACTGCATTTATACATGAGTCTGTGTCCAGTGAGTGTGCGATTTCGATGTGTACAGCTCGGATTGTAAGGCAAGTAAACAAGACTCCATAGCGCTTGACTCGCGCTCGTCCACGCTTGGCTTCAAAGATGATAAGAGTTGTGACATGATTATTCTTGGCTAGATTAGCCGGATGCCTTGTGTGTTCCGGCAAGGCTGCCTGATGCAGTCTTCCACCAACCCGGAGGACACCATCTTGGAGGAACGGATCCAATTTCACGATGTAACTACTGCTCTTGACCTTATCACCCTTCTGCAGTCCACAAAGCTCTTTATGAAAGGTTTGTCTTTGGCTGAACTGAATGATGGCAGTTTCCGGTCTCCTGGTGTCCTTGACGGTCAGATTGGTTCCTATCAGGACAGATTGGTTCCTTTCAGGCCAGATTTCCACTTCTGGATGTGGTTTTCAACTATCTTGGGTTTCACAGTTTGACTATCTTGAGACTGGGTTTGAGACTCAAAGATCTTCCTTTGTTCACACAGATTTCTAAGCAACTCCTTCAGCCTCAACATCCAGGCGACGGCCTTCCTTAGACTGTGCCGGTTAGAATAATGATGAATCAGCTTGATGAGTGGGTCTGTTCTTGAGGTTGATGAGGTTCACAGTGATCTTGCGCTTCACCTCGGCATCGTCATCGCTTATCTCTCTTGGGAATTCTGAGAGGACTGGACAGTGAGACTCGTCCTTGGCAAGGACGTCAGGTCCTTCAATCCAACTCTGACACTTCATGAAATGCTCTGCATTCATTCCTCGTGACGCGTGGTCAGCTGGATTAGAAGATGTACAGATGTATCTCCACTGTGCTGGCCTTGTGTATTCCCTGATTGTCGACACTATTCGCTATGAAGGTTTTGAAACAAGCGCAATCATTGTCAATATATCGGAGGACAGTGGTGCTATGTGTCCATAGCATGGACTCCTTGAGGTCGATCCGAAATTCTTGCTTCATGAGCTTGTCCATTTTCACCACAATGGTAGCTGCAGCCAGCTCTAGACGTGGGACAGTAACTGGCTTGAGCGGCGTCATACTAGATTTTCCTAGAAGAAAGGAGCAATGGACTTGACCGTGGCTGTTCTCAATGCGAATGTAGCTGACGACTCCATAGCTTGTTTGGTGAGGGTAACATTAAAGGAGACCACACAAGGATTTTCTTTAAAGTGAAAATTGAATTTATTAAATTATACTAAAGAAACAATCCCTGAAAAGGAATAAATAAAATGGGGAATAGGAAATGGCTTATTGCAAAACTAGTAACTAAACAGAAATAAGCAAATCTAACCAAACCTAACAAAACCCAACCATAGGACAGGATACAAACCAAACCAAGCCAAACATGGTTCTGAGGAGGTAAGAGAGAGAAGCCTCCTCTCTGCTGCTTGCATGACAGCTTTTAAAGTAGACAAGCACCAATTAGGGCAAAACAGATCACCTGCAGAAGGCCTGCATCCAGAACCCTGCAAGGAAAGGGGAGAAAACCACTGCAGCCCTAACAATAGCCCTTCTCGCTAGCATCAGAAAAATGGTGTAGCTGCTCTGACACTACTGAACCAAATCCCTCCGGTTTGATGCACCTCTTGACAGAGAAGCTGGCGAACCGGCTCAAGTCAGACAGCCAGACAAAACATCTGTTCGCAATTTCTACAGGAATGTCATTGTACCAGGTAAGTTTCAATCGACAGAGATTTTGCACAATGATCTTAGCCAAAAGGATGAACGGTGACAGGAAGCCAAGGGGGTTGTAAATTGAGCTTACGACTGATATGATACCCCTTCTGGTGACTGGCATGTTCTTCACAAGAATGCGGAACTTGAAAGAATCGGATTCTATGCACCAGTCCACTCGAAGCGCCCTCTCCATGGGTTGCTCATCCCTGTCCAGATCTAGATTCTTGATCTCCTTCGCACGCTCATGTTCGGGGGGTGATGACAATACTTCACGGCTGTTGCTATACCATTTAGCCAAATGGAATCATCCACTTTTGCAGAATGCAATGAGGTCTTTGGTCAAGGTAATAGCCTTCTTTTTATCAGACACTGAGACAAGACAGTCATCTACATAGAAGTGCTCCAGAATTGTGGTTACTGCCTCAGGTGACGACCTCTCTTCCTCTGCAAAGCGTTGTTAGCACAGCTTGGGCTGGACTTGGCCCAGAACAGGTGCACAACCATCTTGTACTAACATAGAGGCTGGTTCAGATCTCCCACTGGCCACCAGAGGAATCGCAAAAGATCAGAATCTTCGTCAAAGACTCTCACCTAGTGATACATTGCCTCAATGTCTGAGATGAGTGCAATGTGATCAAGGCGAAATCTTGTCAGGACTCCAACCAGACTGTTCGTGAGGTCCGGCCCCTGTAACAACTCTTCATTTAACGACTTCCCTTGGAAAGAAGAGGTGCAATCAAAGACGACCCGCAACTTACCCTTCTGCAGATGGATCACGCCATGATGGCGAATATACCATACTCGGCCATCGTTGCGGTTGCGCTCATTGGCAGGGACTTCTACAGCGTAGCCTTTGCTCAGCAGGTCTGATACGAACGCTGTGTAATTGTCATGAAAACTGGAGTTCTTAGCAAGTTTCCTTTTCAGGCTCAATGCTCGATGCTCAGCAACACTCTTGTTGTTCGGCATCACAATGTCTGTTTTTAAGAGGCATACCAATGCAGTAGTGTCCATCGATTTTCTTGGTTGTTTGCGTCACACGCTGTATGAATTTAATGTCTTCTCGCGATATTTCTGACTTCTCTTCGCAGGCTTGTTCCGGAAAGTCATGATTGTACTGCTGCAACAGCATGTTTTCCACACTACTGACTGACACTCTGTTGACTGAAGCACCATGACTGAAGTGACTTGGTGGTTTGTCTTCATTCTCTTTCTTCAGAGGGCCATTCACTAACCAGCCAAGGGTTGTCTTTATGGCATAAGGCCCGTCATTTTGACTGTGGATTATCTTCCACAGCTCCATTGCAGAGTATGCATTCATTCCGATGAGCAACTCCACATCTGCATTGATCTGTGGTAACTGCACTTCCTTCCGAAAATACGGCCATCTTTCCAGGTCTTTCTCTACCGTAACATTCTCCCCATTAGCTTCGCTTGTGTAACTCTTATTTCCATGTTATACTAGTAGGTCTCCCATAGAATGAGTCAACAGAGTAATGCCTTTATCTAAAAATTTTATTTTGTGCTTGTCTGTATTGAGAAAAGTTAGGGAAATAAAAAAAAGTGGATGTTTATAAAAAAGGGGTAGAAAAAGGTTCTCCGGAAAAGATTAAAAAAAATAAAATAAAAAATTTATGGTTAAATGATGAAAACAGAGATGCTGATTATATACAATACTAAATACAATCTGTCATTTCGTAAATAGAAATATCTTGCAAAATGTTTGATTCATACAGCTACTGTTATGAGCATATAAATTGGTTTTGCCTACATAAGCATTTGTCAACAAGTTCTAAGAGAAACGGTCTGTTCTGTGAGTTTTTGCTTGTTTATAATTTACTATCTTTAGAGCCTCAAACTTTCCTCCAAGTGTGAAACTAATACCAGAACGTTTATTTGATTGTTCTTGTGTTTGGTTCCCGGAGTATGGTGGAGCCATAGGACAAGGATTTTTGAAGATAAGGAGGCAACATTATTGACTTTTATACTGTGATTAACCTATAAATTCTACTTAAATGGGTTAAATAAAAATATATTTTCTCCAAAATAAAGCAAAGGTTTTAGGCAGATTACCGAACTGCAAAATGAGGGTCGTAAACTGCAGATTAACTTGCAACAAGAACTCTCTGCTGCCTTCATTTCATGCAATGACAGATAAAGACAAGAACTCACTCTACTACCAGACTGAAGGAGAAGCTGGTAGGGTATAGAAAAAATAGTCTGCTGCAAAGATGACTGCTACAAGTCCCAGAAGGCTGAGGCCAACAAATAATTGGACAAGGAGTATTTGCAAAAACTTAAAGGGTTTACTTACAAACGTATCATGAAGCTCAAACACCTGCTTCAAAACAATGGTGCTAGATAGATCAAAAGTTCTAATTGCTAGATGGCTCCATCAAATTTAGACTTAAAATGCCCTGCAGTTTTACAGAACTCACCATCTGACAAGGCTTCTTCTTTTTTTTTTTTAAGATAAACAGGAAGATAAATTGTCAGATTTTTTTAGGCTCTTTTCACATAATTACTAAGAAGACAGTAGCAACATTTGGAGGGTGAGATGTGTTACAAACTGCTTGGTCTCAGCTAACTAAAAATTATAGGCTGCATACAGTATGTAGTAAAGGTTTGATTTTAATTTTATTTTTTTATCTAAGCTATTTGAAAACCTTTCAGTAATAAAAGTGAAATTAGCTTAAAGCCGATATATCTGTGAAATCTATGTTAACAGGGTTCCGGTGCTATTACCTAAAGCGTTTCTCTGATTTCTGTTCAGGAAAAGGGTTAAACAATTTATCAGTTTGCCACTAAATCAAATCTATTATTAGAATTACAAAAAATCTAACATCTAGCAATGGATAAAAAAAAGAAAAAGAAATAAAAGATTAATTATTCAGTATAAAAGAAACATTTGAAGAAATTAAGTTAATAAAAAGATATAAAAAAGAGGATAATTTTGTTTCAACAAGCTATAGTTTTCCCAATCAGTTAGGTTTAAATTAAGAATGTAATCAAACATATGGATAGATAAGCCTTTAGTAACTTTTACTTTTTTTTATTATAGTTGAGTACTCTTCCACCGCTGTGGAAAAGTATTGACCAATCAGCCAAGCATAGCCTATTATTGCATATATATTTGAATTGTGGATTGTTCTGAATGTTATTTCTATAACGTCTATCAGTGTTACTTGTTCACTGCTGTGAATTCTCTGGTAAATGAAACTGGCTGGCAGCTACTGACTCGTCTCCACAGTCGACTCTGTTCCAACCTGATCTGCCCTCCACTGGCCT